CCTCCTCTCCTCTTCCTCCTCCTCCCCCTCCTCCTCCCCCTCCCCTCCTCCTCCTCCTCCTCCTCCTCCTCCTCCTCCCTCCTCCTTCCTCCCCCTTCACCAGCCTCGGAGGAGCTTCGAGGAACGCGAACGACGAACCGCAGGGGGTCTGGGGACCGAGGGGCCCCCCCACTCGCCGGGGCGATCTGCCCTCCCAGGCGCTCCGCGAGGGCCGCAGCAACGGGGGGCCGCTGGATGCTCGGGGAAGTCCTTAAACGCATCTGCGCCAACCTTTTCCTCTCCTCCTCCCCCTCCTCCTCCCTCCTCCTCCTCCTCCTCCTCCTCCTCCTCCTCCTCCTCCTTCTCCTCGTCGTCCTCCTCCTCCTCCTCCTCCTCCTCCTCCTCCTCCCTCCTCCTCCCCATTCACCAGCCTCGGAGGGAGCGCGAGGAGCGCGAACGACGAACCGCAGGGGGTCTGGGGACCGAGGGGCCCGGGTGCCCACTCGCCGGGGCGAGCTGCCCTCCCAGGCGCTCCGCGAGGGCCGCAGCAACGGTGGGCCGCTGGATGCTCGGGGAAGTCCTTAAACGCATCTGCGCCAACCTTTTCCTCCTCCTCTTCCCCCTCCTCCTCCTCGCCATCCTCCTCCTCCTCTCCTCCTCCCTCCTCCTCCTCCTCCTCCTCCTCCTCGCCATACCCATTCATGACATAATTTTCGTCCTGTACCGTCCCGGCGACACGCGAAACCGAAACCATTCATTTCTTTGGAACGATTCGCTGTTTATTTCGCCTTATGGTTTATTAGCTTTTTCGGGGGGGCATCGTTTCGCTTTCGCTCTCGCAACTATTCACGAGTTTATCCTGGGTTTCGGCCGTCTTCGGAGTTTCGCTTTCGCGCGTCGCCGGGAGAGTGCTCGCCGAGTCGATCTGCCCGTCTTCGCCGGCCGCGCCCCGCCCCGGGTCGCCGCCGCTCAGGGAGAGGTGCGGCTGCGCTGCGGGCGTCGCGCGGGTGCGTCCCGTCGCTCCGGGTGCGGGTGGTCGCGCACGTGGAGCCGCGCTCCATGGGGGGCCTTCTGTGCCGGTCTGCCCTGCCAGCCAAGGCGTCGGCAGCCCCGCTCCGTGAGCTGTGCGGGGGCGGTGCTGGAGCGGTCTTTGGGGGCGACTGGCGGAGGCGAGCGGCCCAGGGGCGGGCAGTGCGCAGCCCAGTCGCAGGAGAAGTCTCTCTGCTGGCCGCGGGTAGTGCCGCCTGCAGGTATTTCGTCTGAAGCCTCGTAGCGTTGGTGGGGGTGGATCGGGGGCTGCTTGGTGTCATTCAAGTGCCGCCCTGGGGTCCCCCGACGGTATCTTAGAACGTCTCGAGGTTGACTGATGTTTTCGTCAGCTGCGATCGGGGTTGGAGTAGTGGCCGCGATGTTCCGAACATGGTGTCCAGATGCTTGCGACAACACCAGCCAACACAACTCAGCACGGTGTGTCTCTTCCAAGAACACATCATAAGATGTAGCGTGCTCAGCTGCTCTCAAAAACCTTGTGTGCGCAACGCCTTGCTGGTTCACTTGACGGACAAAGCGTGTCGACGTACGCGCGTTTGTTATGTATGGTTTGGTGGATGTGTTGCGCTCGCTTTACAATTCATGGCCCAGGCCGCTCGCGTGGGCCAGTCGGCTATGTGGGCTTCAGGTTCGCGTGTCTGTCCGTGCCTTTGCATTGTGGTCTCTTTAGCGATGCTTCGCTACACGTGCGCCGCAACTCGTGCGAAGTGTATATGCAAGCTGGCCAGGAAATCTGTATTGGACCCGGCTTCCTGTGCATACGTGGACTGTGGGTGCAAGAGGAGCCGATTGTGTAAGTCTGCGAGCTTTTGTACATTCACATTTGCTCATGGCGAGTGTCATGTCAAAGAATGGCCTTGAGTGCGCACGCGCACACAATTTCCCCGGTGAGCTATAGCCAGAATGCACTACAGAGCTTCTGCTGCCTGTGGTTTCTTCAGCCCAGCAGTTGTCCCCGTACCATCTTCATCATCATCACCATCACCATCACCATCGCCATCATCATCATCATCATCATCATCATCATCATCATCATCATCATCATCATCATCATCATCATCATCATCATCATCATCATCATCATCATCATCATCATCAGCATCATCATCATCATCATGATCTTATTCATCATCATCATCATCATCATCATCATCAGTTTCAATTGTTTGTGTGCGTTCTCCCCGTCATGTCGGCTCCTGAGTGTCATGCGGGCTTGGTGCGTGTGGTGCTCCGAACGAATGATGCGCCGACCAAGACCCCCCTACCCCTCTTCCTTCTCCCGCACTTGCTCCTATCTTCCCCCTTCTCCCGCCGCTCCCGCTCCTGCTACTGCTCTGTCTCATCTGGTCTTCCCCCTCTCTCTCTCCCCCTGCTGCTGCTCCTCCGCCTCCCTCCTTCTCCTCGCCCTTTCTTTCTTCCTCCTTTCTTGCCCCCTCCTTCCTCCTCCTTCCTATCTCTTCCCTCATCCCTCCTTCCCTCTCCCGTCTTCCCCCTTCTCCCTCCCTGCTCCCAACTCCTCTCCCCCCCCCTCCTCCGCCTCCTCCTCTCCCCCTCTCCCTCCCTGCTCCCGATTCCTCCCTCTTCTTCCTCCTCCTCCTCCTCCTCCTCCTCCTCCTCCTCCTCCTCCTCCTCCTCCTCCCCCATTTGCGGCGCGATTCACGATTGTCAGGACGCAGCGGTTCAGTTGGTTCGCGGTGTCGAAGTTCTAGAAATGGTGCTCTGATGCGGTTTAGGATTGTCACGACACATCGGTCGCGTTGATTCGCGGCGTTGCTTTCCCAAGGCTGGTGTTGTGGCGCAGTTGAGGATTTTCAGACGGTTGTCTGCCACTGGGACACTTCCACAATGAACTTATCCGTAAGGGCTTCGCCCCCTGCCGCCGGCCCCCTCTCTATAATAGTGGGATACATCAGAGCTATATTGGGATATTCGGGCGCCGTCTTGATGACATTCGGGAACGTCATGCTAGGGCGGCTGGCGATGAGCAAAACAGATTGAGATGTTGAAGTTGTTGTTGAACGCTTTGTTGCCTTCTTGGCATTTTCCTCCAGTTGTTCACTGGAAGCGCTCTGGGAACGGCTGGGGATTGCTTCAGGCAATCTCTGGGAATGTTATTTTTTCTGCTCTGGAAAAGGAGTGGCGCCTTTGGGCAGCTTCCGCGAGGTGGATTCGTAGCGTGGGGGGTGCGCGCGAATTTGGTGTAATTTGAAGGGGATCGTGGCCCTGGGGACGCGAATGTGGTGTAATTTACTAGGGATCGTGGCCTGGGGGGCGCGACAGCGGCGTAATTTACGAGGGGTCGTTGCCTCGGGGGCGCGAATGTGGTGTAATTCGCGCGGGATCGTGGCCTCGGGGGCGCGAATGTTACGAAGGATCGTGGCCTGGGGGGGTGAATGTGGAACCCACCGCCGAATTTTTTCCAGAAACGGGGGGGTGGCAAAACAATACCAGCGGAGCACATGTCCCAATACAGAGAATTGCAGTTTTTCTGCTTTGGAGAGGGGGAGCGCCTTTTCTGCAGCCTCCGCAAGGCGGATTCGTGGCCTCGGGGGCGCGCCCGCTGCGTAATTTACTAGGGATCGTGGCGTCAGGGGCGCGAACTTGTTGTAATTTACTAGGGATCGTGGCCTCGGGGGCGCGAAAATCATCGTGGCTTCGGGGGCGCGGATGTGGTGTAAATTACTAGGGATCGTGGCCTCGAGGGCGCGAATATGGAGTAATTTGCAAGGGATCGTGGCTTCGGAGACGCAAAGGTGGTGTAAATTACAAGTGATCGAGGCCTCGGAGACGCGAATGTGGTGTAATTTGCGAGGGATCGTGGCCTCGGGGGCGCGAATACAATGTAATTTGCGAGGGATTATGGCTTGGGGGGCACAAAACTAATTTATTTTTACGTGTCCCACGCCCCCCCAGATATTCTGAGAACCCTCCCGGGGGACGCTAACCAGGGCCCTTCTCGGCTCCCCCCTCGCGCGGACAGTAACAATTTACAGCAGGAAGCAGAAAGCAGTACTGTAACAATGGAAACTGGAAACTGGAACTGGCACAGGGAGCAGCAACCTTAATCCTCGCAGCCTGATGGCCCCGCAAGGGGGCCGGCGGACATTCGTGCAGGGAGCTTGTAGGGACGCTTGATTCGAACATCGTTGATACGTCTTGGGTCTACACTGATCATTTCTTCCTTCTTCCTCCTCCTCCTCGCCGCTCGGCTCGCTCTGAGGCTCCCCGCGTACCTCTCGGGCGGCGCTGGGCCGCGCAGCGCCAAGATAATACAGACGGACCTGCCCCTTAGGTGACGTTCGCTTTTCGTTCTCCTCTTCGTCCTCCTCTCCCTCCTCCTTCCTCAAGAAGGCCTCCTCCTCCTCCTCCTCTTCCTCCTCCTCCTTCTCCTCCAAGCAGGTATCGCAGCCCGTGTATTGCCCAGTTGGGCACCGAGCCGCGCCGCGTACTGCGCGCCGTTGCCGCGACGGGGGGGCGGGCGCGCCAGTCCCATGGCGGCGTCGGGCGCGCAGGCTTGGGCGGAAGAGCCGTCGTCGTCGTCGTCGTCGTCGCCGAGGACGGGGATGAGGATTAGGATGAGACGGGCACCCGTGCGCCTGGGCCCGCCGCCGAAATCGGCGGCCCAGCTCACCCAAGCATATGAATCCGCTAGGACCCCTGCAGAAGCAAGCTCTTATTGGGGAACTAGTACGAAGAAGAAGATTACTGATACGTATAGTAATGCGAATCTTAAGATTACGATTAAGAAGAATCTGACTAACAAGAAGGAACATACTATTAATAATACTACGAGTAAGGATACTAATACTAAGAATGCGAATCATAAACATAGTATGAAGACTCATGAGAAGAAAAGTACGAAGACGACGGATGATACAACTAGTATGAAGAATGGTACGCGGAATAATAAACATAAATGTACGAATACTGACAATCATAAGACAAAGAGGAGGAGGCCAGCCGCCGCGCAGGCCCGCGCGCCCGGGGTCTGCCAGGTTGTCTTCGAGGCGCTCCGCGGGTTCCGCGGCAGAGCACGGGGGGGGGGGGGGGCGAGTGGGGAGGGAGGGCATGGAGGCACTGCGGCACGGCAGGGGGGCGCTGAGGGAGGACAGGGAGGCGGGGGGGGGGCAGGGAGGCGCTGAGGGAGGGCAGGAAGGTGCTGAGGGAGGTCAGGGCGGCGCCGAACTTGAAGGGAGGCGCATCGGGAGAGGACCTTTTTTGCACCTGGCCTGGGCTGCGATCCACCCAGGTGAGGGCCAGCGGAGGACGACGACGACGCCACGCATGCTATCGCATGCTGCCCCACGCAGGTACGATCATTCACTGCCTGGAGCCCACGCCAGAATCAGTGCACTGGCGCCGTGTAATCATCATTATGGTCGGCTGATAGACAGCGAAGTGTGCACTCGACATGTGTCACGACGCCTGGCGGTACCTAAAAGGTCCTCGTTGCACGTTGGCATGCGTCGCCGACACGTCGGCGAGGGCGACGGGCCCGACGTCCTCACACTGCGTGCTGCCCATTGCCCGCTCACCAATCGCGCATGCGCTTGCCTATGCCGTCTCGCAGCTACGTGGGTCGTGGCACCCGGGTTCGCCTGCAAGCTGAAGTCTGGCTGCGCGACCCCGTTGGTCAGTGTCTGCATGGTCATGGGAGAGCCAGGGGCGGATACGAAGAGCATGGATGCGGATGGGGGGGGGGCGGATACGAATCCAGGCGCATCGCGCTGCGGGTCAGCTGTCCCAGGCCACGATGGCGCGGTCGCGGGCCGCCGGGTAGGACTGGTTCCGACAGTCGTAGACGGAGCCGCTCTCGGAGCGAGACGAAAGGGGCCCGTGGCTCCATGCTCGCTCCGCGGAGCAGGGCGACGCGCGGCAGGATCCTGCCGAAGGCGTTGGCGGAGGACACGGAGAGGAGGGAGAGGAGGTACAGCGTCGCGCCCAAAGCTCGCCTCCTCCTCCTCGTCCTCCTCCTGCTGCTCGTGCGCCCCTCTCCTCCTTCACCTTGCCCAAGGCGTGAGCACGAATCAGATGGGGTCGTTTGCAGCGACCTCGCGCGAGAGACCGTGACGAGACTCCCGCGAAGCACATAGGGAGCCCCGACCAAAAAACACACATTTCGCATGCTTGCAATATCTCAGGGGGACCTCCCACCACCTTCCCACTGGCAGGTCGGTGGCCATGCGTGCAGCGCGGGCGATCTCGAGCGAGCCCTTTGGTCCAGGGGGGTCCCTCCCCACTGCAAGCTCTACGCCGCGCATGCAAGAGTCGACATGGGAGTAGGATGGAGGAGAAGGGGGAGAAACGTGGAGACTAGAAGAGGCGAGACGAGAAAGGAAGAGAAGAGAAGAGAAGAGAAGAGAAGAGAAGAGAAGAGAAGAGAGGATGAGCGCAGAGAAGTGATTTGAGGAAGAGGAGGAGGAGGAGGACGAGGAGGAGGAGGAGGAGGGAGAAGACGAACAGCAAGCATAAGTGACGGGAGGATAGTTTATGAGCAGGAAGAAATGGATCGGGACGAGGAAGGCGATTAGGGAGAGGAGAAGGACGAGGAGTAGAGGAGGAGGAGGAGGAGGAGGAGGAGGAGAAGGGGGATGAGAAGGAGGAGGAGCAGGAGGAAGAGGAGCAGGAGGAGGAGGAGGAGGAGCAGGAGGAGGAGGAGGAGGAGGAGGACGAAGAGGATGATACTCATGAGGAGGATACTATAAATGAGGGGAAGGAGGAGAAGGAGGAGGAGGAGGTAGAGGAGGAGGAGGAAGAGGTTGTGGGATAGGGAGGACTGGGGGAGGGGGTGGGGGAGGAGGGGATGAGGCATGATGCGGGAGGGAGGAGCAGGGGGGATGAGGTATGAGGAGTCGGGCCGGATATGCATAGGAGCAGCTAGGAGGGGACGAGGAGGAGGAGGAGGAGGAGGAGGAGGAGGAGGAGGAGGGGGAGGAGGGGACGAAGAGGAGGAAGAAGAAGAGGAGGAAGAAGAGGGAGAGGAGGGGAAGGAGGGGAGGAAAAGAGGGGGACGAGAAGGCGGAGGAGGAGGAGGAGAAAAAATAAGAGACACAATGGAGGAAGGGGGGCATATATATACATACATACATACATACATACATGCATGCATACATCCATACATACATACATACACACATACATACATACAAACATACATACATACAAACATACAAACATATAAACATAAAAACATACATACATACATACATACATACATACATACATACATACATACATACATACATACTTACATACATACATACATACATACATACATACATACATACATACATACATACATACACACACATACATACATCATACATACATACATACATACACACACATACATACATACATACATACATACATACATACATACATACATACATACATACATACATACATACATACACACATACATACATACATACATACATACATACATACATGCCTGCCTGCCTGCCTGCCTGCCTGCCTGCCTGCCTGCATGCATGCATGCATACATACATACACACATACACACATACACACATACATACACACATACACACATACACACATACACACATACGTGTACATATATGTGGATTGTACACAACGAGCACAGCCGCACCTCTTGTGACTCTGTGAACGCTGGCTTTTTTTATCGAGGCTGGATTGTTTTGTTACGTACAGGCCCCCCTATCTGAGGGTGTTGTAGCCCATGGCCGCCACGAGGGTGCGAAGTTATTCGCGGTCCCCGGCTCGCGATTCGCAATTATTCATCCTCATCTTTCTCGTCTTCTCGTCTTCCACCGTGTCGTTCTATCATTTCATTTCTGTTGATTCCCATCCATGCGTGAGGCCACCTGCGCCATCACCCTCCCTGGAGACCAGCTTTGCGTGGTCGGTGACTCGGAGGCGCGCTCGCCGTCGTATTTCTGATTTGCGCCACGCATGTTCGAAGCCTACGGATGTAGACAAGAAGCAGATACCATGCTTTAGTAGTGATGATGCATGTTCAATGGCACATTGGGATTGAGAGAGGAAGATAGGAAGAGACAGAGAGAGAGAGAGTCTGAGAGAGAGAACGAGAGGTAGAGAGATCATCAGAGAGAGAGAGGGGCACAGAGAAAGAGAGAGAGAGAGAGAGCGTGGGTACTCCCGTCCGTGTAAGTTCGTGCTTGCGGCTGCACTTCCGCCCTTCCTTCTGCAGCGCGCCTCCGCGAGCTCTCGGCCCATCCGCCGTGCCGTCCCCGGGCCTTCGGGCCCCCGCGCATCCTGCTCGCCTGGGGGGAGCGCGCCTCGGCGCCCTGGCGCGGCGCCGCGGGCGCTCCGCAAGAGCTCGCCCGGGCACAGCGCGGCCCGCGACGCACGGGCCCGGCAGGGCTGCACGACCTTTGGGCATAAGCTGCAGATACTGCAGCCGTGCAACTAGACAGTTGAGCCGCTAAAAGTAAGGAGCTGTTAGTGTACGAAGCGGGCTCGCGGCGGTTTTGGGGCCAAAAAGAGGTTTCGTTTCTTATTTACTGTTTCTGATTCAGCGGCCCGACTGTACCTTGGCAGGCTGGTGCGCCTTCTATAGCTCCGGGCCTTGTGGATGCAGGCTAGAGTCAGCCTGGTTCGCATGTCGCCGCGCCGCTTGTTCCGGCGCGCCTCCCTGCGTCTTCGGGAGGGCGCTTCGGCCACCAGGGCAAGCGCCGCCTCGTTCGCGGTGTGTTTGCCCTGAGTTTGCCGCGCTGCCGGCGTCGTCCACTTGGGCGCGTCGAGGACAGCCGGCGCGGCGACACACGCAGCAGGAGCAGCGGCAGGGCTGCAATGCAGAGGTCCCCGGAGGAGGCCCCCACAGAGGCGGGAAGGCTCCGCGAGGCCCTGCAGAGGCTCCCTGGCTGCCTCCGCCTCCGGAAGCCGCCGCGAGGCACCCGCTGCGCCCCATAAGCTGGCGGCAGTTTGGCGACGAAAGGGTCCCGAGGCCCGGCGAGGGCCCCCAGAGGCCGAAAACGGCCCAGAACCCGCCGCTCCAGTTTTTTTGGAGCGTCGGACCGCTGCGAGCGCCCCGGCTGCCCGCAGCAGCGGGGGCGCGGCAAGGTGCCGGCGAGGCGCGGCTGCTGGCGAGCATCCCGAGGCTGCCGAGCCCACGAGCACGCCCGAAAATCCCGCACCCGAAAACCTCGAACCTCGACCTCGAACCTCGATCTCTGGGCATGTCGTCGTCGTCGTCGTCGTCGTCGTCGTCGTCGTCGTCGTCGTCGTCGTCGTCGTCGTGAGGCTTCCCGAGGTCGCCGGAGACCTCGGAGGGGTCAGGCCGCCGGAGGCCCCTGCGCAGGCCGCCGCGGCGGCCGCCCGGAGGCCTGCCTGCGCAGAGGTCCCCGGAGGCCCTCCGAGGCGTCCGGAGGCCCCACGACGACGACGACGGCGACGACGACGACGACGGCGGCGACGACGGCGACGTCGACGGCAACGACGACGGCGGCGACGGCGGCGACGGCGGCGGCGACGACGACGGCGACGGCGGCGGCGACGACGACGGCGACGGCGGCGGCGGCGACGACGGCGGCGGCGGAGGTGGCGTCGAGGCCCAGGGCGTTCAAATCTCGATCCTCGGATGTCCCCCCATCGAGTTGCGCTGAGCTGGCTTCATGTCTATACGACCCACCCTGCGAGGCTGGTCGTCGTCGCCAGGCATCCCCTGTCAGGAGGAGGAGGACGAGAAGAAAAAGAAGAAGCCGATTATTAATTACAGTACAAATATGAAGAAGAAGAATAATATGGAAGATGAGAAGGAAGATGAGAAGGAGGAGGAATGAGGAGCATGAGGGATGATGATGCTTGATGCTGCTGCTGATGGTGGTGGTGGTGATGGTGGTGGTGGTGATGACGACGACGATGATGATGATTCTGATGATGATGATGGTGGTGGTGGTGGTGGTAGTGGTGGAGGGCCGTGGTCGATGAGGAGGAGGAGGAGAATAGGAGGTGGAGGAGGAGATAAGTATGAGCAGGAGTCGGAGTAGGAGTAGGAGTCAAGCTTCCATGATGATTGCTTCTGATGATGATGCTGCTGATGATGATGCTGATGATGCTGATGCTGCCGCTGATGATTATGATGATGCTGATGATGCTGATTATGATGATGATGATGATGATGATGATGATGATGATGATGATGATGATGATGATGATGACAATGAGAGTTGAAGACGACGATGATGCTGATGCTGCTGCTGATGATGATGATGGTGGTGGTGATGGTGTTGGTGGTGGTGGTAGTGATGATGATGACGATGACGATGATGATGGTCGTGGTGGTGGAGGGTTGTGGTGGATGACGAGGAGGAGGAGGAGGAGGAGGAGGAGGAGGAGGAGGAGGAGGAGGAGGAGGAGGAGGAGGAGGAGGAGGAGGAGGAGGAGGAGGAGGAGGATGATGATGATGATGATGATGATGATGATGATGATGATGATGATGATGATGATGATGATGATGATGATGATGATGATGATGATGATGATGATGATGATGATGATGATGATGATGATCGTACTGGTGATGGTGATATTGATTGTGATGGTGATAGTGATGGTGATGATGAGAAGGAGGGGGAGGAAGAGGAGGAGGATGAGGACGATACATGGATGGATGGACGAATGGATGCATGTATTAATGGAAAGTGTTGGTGGTGGAGAGGAGGAGGAAGGAGGAGGACGAGGAGAAGGAGGAGGAAGAGGAGGAGGAGGAGGAGGACCAGTGCAAACCCAAGAGTCATCAACGATGTTGGAATGAACCCTCCCTCCAAGCTTCCTCTTCATGGGCCCCTGCAACGGTTCATTGCCGTTGAGGGAACTGCCTCGCTGGAAGACGACCGTTTGAAGACCCTGAAGCGTGCCAAAACGTGTTTCTCTCCGTAGCCATGTTGGCTCAAGGATGCTCTGGCCCAAGGGCTCCTGTGGCCGCTGCTGGCCGAGGGAAGGCCCGGGCGCCTGCAAGAGGCCCCGGGCTGCGGCGGCCACCGCACGGTCGCGGCCATGCCGCGGGCGCGCCAGGCTCTCGGCGCGCTCGCCGGCGCGCTGGCGGCGGGCTCCACGGCGCGGGCCTGCCTGTCGCACGACCTGTTCCCCGGGGGGCTGGCCGACGGCCCTCTCGCGAGGGGGCCGCGGGCGTCCGCCCCGTCGCTGGCCTTGGTGGTTCCAGGGCACGGCGACGCGAGGCGCACCCGCCTCATGGTGGAGGGCATCGTCCGCGTGGCGCGGGCTCTGCCACCGACTCACGGGTTCGAGTGCTTCATCTTCGCGTACACGGACGTCGCCATCACGATGCCGAGCCCGTACGCCTGCACCCTGGTCCGTGCCAGGGGCTTCTGGACGGACTACATGAAGATGGTGCGGTCCAAGAGCACATACGTCGCGATCATGATGGACGACGTGTGTCCAGCAGAGGTCCGAATGCCAGCCTTTCTCAGGACGATGCAGCAGTACAACCTCGAGGTGGCCGCTCCCATGTAGCCCTCCTGGCACTGGAAAGTGATGATGAGGGATGCCGAGAGAAAGTGCGTTGTCCGTGTGACGAAGTATATTGGTATGCTCTTTACAGTGTTCTCGCACCGTGCGTGGGAGTGCTGGCGGAGGCAGATTGACACTGATAAGATCCATGAGCTGGGGAATGGACGCCACGTTCAATTCCACCTGTGGGATGAAAATGGGCCTCCTCGACGAGCACATGGCTGTCCACGCGGACCTTACATCTGGCGCAGAGCACAATTTCGTAGAGGCGAAGGAGACCAGGACCTACAACGAGACGCTGGCCCACCTGGAGCTCGCCGAGTGGCTGGCGGACAAGGCGATCCAGTTCAATGTCACGTACTGCTGGGACGTGGACAGCGGCTGCGCGAGGCGGTGCGCATCCCCCGGGAAGCCGAGCGTCAAGAAGCAGCACATGAAATTCTTCATGGGCATCGCGAACGGGCCGACGAAGTGCATGCCGGCTGGCGGTGGTTCCTGAGCGCCGCCCCGGGCTCCGAGAGATCGGAGTGGGGGTGCCAGCGCTCGCGTGCACTTTCGCGCCGCCGCTCCCCGAGCTCCCTCCCCCCCATCCGAAGAGGCAGCCCCGCGCGGCCCCATGTGAGGTGGGGAGAAAAAAAAACAAAACATGTTTCTCGGGATTCCAACTCCACGGATCAACCTGACTGTTCCGTTCTGACGGTCCTGAATCGTGCCAGAACGCCATTATTGAGACCTCGACACCGCGAATCAACGTAAATGTTCCACCCGCAAAATCCTGAATCCGTCCGAAGCACAATTTCTGGTCCTTCTTCCTGCGAATCCATGCATCTCTTGCAAATCATATAAACGAATGTGTGCAGCGCTAAGGCGGAAGCCACATTTTGGTAAGGAACCGCCCTCAAACCGTGAAGCTCTTGCAGTTGTTTGCAACGAGTGTGCGCGGTGCTTAGGCGAGAGCCACATTTTGAAAGGAACCGCCCAAAATGTGTGAAACTCTTGCAACTGTTTGAAACGAATGTGCGCGGCGCCAAGGCGAGAGCCACATGTTGAAGACGTGCCGCCCTCAATCCGTGAAGCTCTTGCATCTTTTTAGAAATCATGTGCGTGGAGTTAAAGGCGAGAGCCACATGTTGAAAACAGGTCGCCCTCAATCCGTGAAACTTTTGCAATTGTTTAAATCGAATGTGCGCGGCGTTAAGGCGAGAGCCACATTTTGAAGACGTGCCGCCCTCAATCCGTGAAGCTCTTGCATCTTTTTAGAAATCATGTGCGTGGAGTTAAAGGCGAGAGCCACATGTTGAAAACAGGTCGCCCTCAATCCGTGAAACTTTTGCAATTGTTTAAATCGAATGTGCGCGGCGTTAAGGCGAGAGCCACATTTTGAAGACGTGCCGCCCTCAATCCGTGAAGCTCTTGCATCTTTTTAGAAATCATGTGCGTGGAGTTAAAGGCGAGAGCCACATGTTGAAAACAGGTCGCCCTCAATCCGTGAAGCTCTTGCAGTTTTTTAGAACGAATGTGCGTGAAAATTAAGGCGAGAGCCACATGTTGAAAACAGGTCGCCCTCAATCCGTGAAGCTCTTGCAATTGCTTTAAAAAGTGCGCGGCGTTAAGGCGAGTGCCGCATTTTGAAAACGGGTCGCCCTAAGTCCGTGAAGCTTGCGCAATGTTTGAAACGAATGTGGGTGGCGGCAAGGCGAGAGCCACATTTTGAAAACCACCCGCCCTCCATCTGTGAAGCTGTTGCCAATGTCTAAGCTTCAGGGTTATAGGTAGTGAGGAAGTCTCAGGCGAAACGCCCGGCCCGCCCTAAAAACTTGCTTCGGGGTGCGACAGGGAGAAGTTATTCATCAGGAAAAGGAGGAGGAACATTGGGAGGTGGAAGAGGAGGAAGACAAGGAGGAGGAGCAGGAGGAGGAAGGAGGAGAAACAGGCGGGAGAGGAGGAGCAGGAGGAGGAGCAGGAGGACAGAGAGAATGGAAGCCGAGAGGCGAAGCAGAAAGAGCAGGAGGAGAAGCAGGAGGAGCAGGAGGAGGACGAGGAGGAGCAGGAGGAGGAGGAGGAGGAGGAGGAGGAGGAGGAGAAGGAGTCGGTGGAGGAGAAGGATCCCTTCCGTGATGCGCCCGGACATTTGGTCCCGACACTGCGGAGGCGCTCGGCAACTGGGACCCGCACCGGGGTCTGGTCCTGCAGACGGGCCCCGAGACCTTTCCGGTGCGGGCCTTTGCCGCAGCGGGGTCCAGCAGTGGGGAGGAGGAAAGGCCTCCATGTAGGACGCCGACGAGGACGAAAGCGACGCCGACGCCGCCGCCGACGCCCACGACGACGCCGACGCCGACGACGACGCCGACGCCGACGACGACGACGCCGACGCCGACGATGACGACGACGCCGAAGCCGACGCCGACGACGACGACCACGACCACGACCACGACGACGACCACGACGACCATGTCGACGACCATGTCGACGACCACGACGACGCTGACGTTCACCAATCGTCACGAAGAGCACCGACTGCCTTTTCAATTCCGACGTTTGTCCCCGATCTCTGCCCTCGGGGGCCGTCTTTCGGCCTCGGGGGCCAAAACCGGATGGGGTCACAAGAGTCCTGATCTCCTGGGGTCGCGGATGGAATACATCGTACCCGCGGATGTTTGAAAGCAGGTCCTTCTCGCTCCGCTAGGCATCCCTCCTCCCTCCTACAGTCGGGGCGCTGAAGAAGGAACCCTTTTCGTTGGGGAGGGGCTCGGTGTTCCTTAAGTGTTTCACAGCTTGCCTCAGGTTTTCATTTGGTTTTCGATGGGAAATCGAAGTTTAACTTATGGAAAAAAGGGGCCTCGTTCCTTCTTTGGGGTTCCTTAGGTCAACGCCCCGACTGTAAATCGGATCCGCGGATGTTTGAAAGCAGGTCCCCCTCACTCCGCTGGGCATCCCTCCTCCCTCCTACTGCCTCGTACCGCCTGCCCTTCCACAGTTCCGCAAGCTGCGCCACGGCTTCCACTGTCGTTCAGAACAGCCTCTACGGCTCAGCTTCCTGGTCCTGCTCCCCCGTCCTGCTTGAATTCTTTTCCTGGCAAGGGCTTCGAAGAGCGCCCTGCGATTCGGCCGCTGTGCAGAACTGTTGTACAGAGCCGGTACAGCAAGGTGCATCAAGTCTTGACCGACCAATTTCTGATACGCATATTTACTTCAGTGCGTCGGCCTGCCTCGGGGCCTGTGAGCGCATTGCAGCTTCCCGCTCCTGCTCCCCTTCCCCCTCCCCCTCCCCCTCCAAGAGCACCCTCCAGTGCGCAAAGTGATTCGCGCTTCGCGCTTCGGCCCCGCCTCCTCGCCCTCCTCTGCTCCCGCCACGCAGCGCGCGCAGCGCGAACTTGGCTGCCCTTGTCCCCCGTGCTTTGCCGATGTCGGGCTCCCGGGGCCCCCGGGACTGCCTCAAGGCGGCCATGACGACGACGACGACGCTGACGACACCGACGCCGTCTCCGTCTC